GAAGCCTTCTGGAACAGGAAGGTTTTGACCTGGTGCCGAAATGTCATCAGCGTTGGCGCCAGATGAATCTCAATTGGGATGGCATTGATGAAAGTTCTTTTTCTGGACTGATACTTTGTTTTCTGTATAGCATCTCAAAACAGCAGCTCATGGTGACGCCAAGGGCCCCATATTCATCAGTCAAACATAACAGAATAGGACAAAGCAAGAAATTATTGAACATTCACAGATACATACAGTATTTGTCTCCTCTAGTCTGATGGAACAAGCAAATTGCATTGGGGTGCCCTACTTGGAAGTTACTGTTCCCGGCTGCTGTTATTTTTTAAAAATCAGATTTCTGCCTGAAACGAGTACTCAAGAGCTTTTTCTGGGTGCATGTTGTGCCTAGTTGCATTTGTTTCCTCCGGTCCAATGGGATGGATGAATTAGGTTGGGCTATTCTAGCTGGAAGTTGATGTTCTAGGCTTGGTTCCTCCCCACCTTTGTATTGATTATCTTCTGGGAACCAGTACTGGAATGTTTTTTCCAGAGGTGTTTTGTGGCTGGTTCCATCAGTCTCCTTTATCTGGATGGAGTAGGTGAATTTGGTTGGGCTGGTCTATTTGGAAATCTCTTTTCTAGGCTGGTTTTTTTTCAGTATTTTTTTTGCAGTATTGGGTTGTTGTTGTTTTTTTGCTCAGAATGAGTACTGTAATGTTCCTGGGAGCATTTTGTTTCTGGTTGCATCACTTGCCTCTGGCTGGATGGATCTGGTGAATTTGGTTGGACTGGCCTACTTGGAAATCTCCATTCTGAACTGTTATTCACAATAAAGATTTATACAGTACGTTGCTTTGGGGCCACTAAGACAATGGCTGTTCCTGCTTAGCTGCTCTTTTAAAATCCAGCAGAGATTTTCTGACAAGTGCATGTTTGCTGATTACAAATGCAAACAGTCACTCAACCTGTAACTTTCCTGATCCAGTTATGTTGCCCAGTTACACACTGCCATAAATAAAATGTCTACCAAGGCAGCGTAGAATGACTGTCACTTAAGTGGCAGGAAACCATGGGTTCCTCTTGGCTGCACATACTGTAGAGAATTTGTGTTTCATTTCTACAGTTGCCTCTTGCGTGAAAGCAGTGTGGTGTAGTGCTCAGAGTACTGAGCAGTATGGCCTCCAAGCAGACAATAGCTCTTAACATGACCCAACCCAAAGGTTTGGGTCATGTCGTGAGTAGAGGTGGGCATGAATTGAAAAAAAATGGTATTTCATCATGATTTATAATTTGTCAAGGTCAACGAATCATGAATGTATGATTTTTTTTTGGACAAACCAATGAATTGATTTGTTGATTCATCTTTACTTTAAAATGCTATAAAAGGGTCCCCAGGCACCTAGAGACATCAAAATCATAGGAAAGCTTCTCCTGAATCTCCTCTACAGGCCTGTAGATTTTGTGAAGTTTGGGTTTTGAATATCTGAGTTGTACACAAAATGAGTACCCACAGGAAAGTGGCCCCCCAGGTACTTAGAGAAACCAAAATCACAAAGATGCTTCCTCTGACTTTCCTCTACAGGCTCTCCAAGTTTGGTGAAGTTTGGGTTTCAGATGTCCAAGTTATGCACCCACAAAGTGGATCTCCCCAGGAAAGTGACAGTGGCAGCTGTATAGTTTGCCACCAGGCACAGAAGCGTTTAGAAGAAACATATTTTAGTTTGCCACTAGGCACAGAAGGGGATAGCACTGAGGTAGTTTGGCATGCCTCCAGGCACAGAGGTATTTTGAAGATATGTACTTTATGGTTGTTGTAGGTTTGTACTTTAGTTTGCCACCATGGACAGAGGCTTTTGGAATAGATGTGGCATTGGGGCTGGTGGGCAAGTTTCTTCTTCCTCATCCTGGGTTAGCAGGTTGCGATATTGAGGCAGGCAGGCTTCTTTCTTCGCCTTGTGGCATAGTGGCAGAAATTAGCCACATAGAACCAAGATGTGTAGAGGCAGATGGATTGAGTTCAGTTTGTGCCCTGAGTGGGCCATGGTGCTGGCCCTGAGTTCAGTTTTGTGCCCTGGGTAGTACAGAAAGAGGCAGAGAGATGGTATGGTGGACCTGAGGGACTCAGGCAGACAGGCAGGCAGATAGATGGTATGGTGAACTTAGGTGAGTAGGCAGTCAAAGGCTGCACAGAGGTCAATGAAGGCGGCACAAAGTTGCCCATTTCCCCTCGTATATTCAGTTATCAGGTGGTGTAGGATATAACAATTATCCAATGTAAATCTACTCCTCCTAAATTCTGTTTGTTCTTCAGCCAGCAAGGCATGATCTTCTACCCAGTCATTTTTGCAGGAGGTACTTTGCATAAATTTCCGCTAGGATATCAATCAGGCTGATTGATCTATAATTCTTATGGTTCTTTTGGTCCCCCTTCTTGTGTATTGGTACAATTGTACTTCATTTCCAACATTTTGGAAACAATCCTGTATTGTTTATCTGTATAAAGAGATGCACCATGAATGTGGCCTACATTTCTGGTAATCATGGTTCTCCCCCGCTCTTTCCTCCTGTTATAGTTCCATTGTACCAGAATCAGAGTTGAGCATGTTACTCAGTGGAGAGGAATGCTACTACATTACAGCTTTACAGCTTTAAGTAGACACTCCCAGTCTTAATGGTATCTCTAGCAACATAGCTGTCTTTCATTCCAGCACGGTCACCTCAGCAGAACCAAGAGCAGGAGGCAACAGTGGATACTTGGATTAAATTCCACGATGCAGTGGAATTATATATTTCAGATCTCCAGCATATTTAGAGCTTCTCGGACTTCTCAGACAAGGGAGCCTGAAGTAGCTAATGAGGTTTGGCTCCCTTCCACCGAAGGTCGAGGGAGGATGTTGTGGAGGAGTTCTCTAGAAATCAAGGTTACACTTTACAAGGGCAAGGTATGAAACTCTAAACTTTAGAACTATAGCCAACCTACTGCCAGACTATAAACTTAAAAAAAAAAAAAATCACAAATAGATATAAAAGCAACAACAGAACTGCTGGGCTGCATGTATGCTGGCATGCCCTGCTGGAACTGGAACCCACTTCTCCCACTACAAGATACCTAAATGGGGAAGATTGAGTGACTGTTGAATCTGCTGGAGGAAGCCAGAGAAGAAATTCCATGGTATACCAATTCAAGACAGACAGTGTATCTGTGGGGTACCAGCTGTGGAAGGTCGAACTCATTATATTCTCGACTGCCAGTTGTATGTTGACATCAGAGAATGTTATCTAGATCCCTTGTTAAAGAGAAGGAAGCTCTGGGACGTAAAAGAAAAACTGGACTTCCTGCTTCAAGGGACAAACCAATATGTGACCCAAAACATTGCCCTATTCACGATGAAGGTGGCTAGATGCGGGGAGAAATGTAAGGAATGTGGACTAAAACCAGTACTGAGCTCTGAAGATAAAACAGCATGAACGTACAGTGGTACCTCGCAAGACGAATTTAATTTGTTCCGCAGTTAATGTTAGTCTTGCGAAAAATTCATCTTGCGAAACGCGTGTTCCGATAGGAATGCATTGAAATCTATTTAATGCATTCCTATGGGCAAAAAAAGTCAGAACAAAGTCAAATTTGGTTTACAAAGGGTTTATTAAGTTCTCTTTAAAGCCATACATATTGTGCAGTTGATTTTAAAAATTTCAATTAAAAAAACTTTTAAAACATAATATATAAACATTTAAAAAACAGAAAACATGAGGCAGAACCAAAAAAAAAACACAGGAAACATTAATCTTGCGAGTCATCAGCCCCATTGCCAAAACCATTTGTCTTGCAAGTTTTTTGTCCCGCGAGGCATTTGTCTTGCAAGGCACCACTGTAATCTGATAAATTTCCCAATTTTAGTGTATCTTAATACAATCACAGTCAAATATCACTGGTTAACTATCTCACAAGTATTGATTCTAAAGTACTGACTTAAAGGTACCTAACATGTATGTATATTTATTATGTCTCTTGCCCTAATTTTAGTGGTCTTTATTGTTATTTTTATACAAGTCTGACTGGTTGTAACTGTTTTATCTTGCCATAGTCTTTGACTGGTGCAATAAATATATATTATATAAATAAATGTGTTTAAAATTAAAGATCACATTCTAATTCTATCAAAATAATATAAACTGTGTAATAGAAACTTGCACGTGCAATTTTATGCAACTCAGTCTCCTTTTTTGGGGGAGTGGTAGTGATGTACAGGTAGTTACCATGTCCATGCTCCTGTTCCATTCCCTTGCTTCTACAGGGCTATATTTTTATATGAGTATTGCACAGACAACTAATGGTCAAAAATTTGCAAACTTGCAAGCAGATAATAAACCTCTGCAGGCCCAGTTAGGCAGTAGAAAGAGTGGCAGTCTCAGCCCTAATGTCTTCCTTGGCAAGGTGCATGGCATTGGAAGCACATGACCTGCCACCCTGGATACTCGACCAACATTGTACCATTGTACACACCTAAGACACAATAATTAAGAGAATGAGCTTTAGGTTAGTGGTAGAGCACGTTTCAACCTGAAAGTTCAAGACTGAATTTTTGGTGTCTTAACTTAGAACTAGGAATGAATTTGGCCTAACATTCTGCCAATCAGTCAGATGATGCTGAACAAGTTAGGCATATGATTGTGACCATGCTTCACCCAAGCTAATCACATTTAAAATACCCTTACTTTAAATGGCTTGCCTTCAGTCCCAGACATACCAGCCCAAGCAGTTTTAGAATCAAACATATGAGATGTTCTTTATTATAATGCAATAACTGCAAAAATAAACAGAGTTCAACTTAAGTCCTCTCCTAGATATAAAATAATGTTCTCCCATTCTCTTTAGCTCTTCTTGACTCCACCTCCTGCAGGCTCTCCTGGATTGGCTCACCTCCTGCATTCTCCTAGCCATTTACCTTATTTCTGCTGTTGCTAGGCCATATTGGTTAAGATTCCATCACAATTGCCTTGATGTGGTAGAGGGCAAGTTTCCACTGTCTCTGTGTTCCATGTCCCTACATCCACCAGCTCATCTAGCTAGGTCTTGGTAATTTAATATATGCTGATTTCCTTAGTCAAAGTAGATCCTCTAAAGGAGGTAAGATGGTGGAAATGTCAAAGATAAAAGGTTTTAGATGAATATGATACCTCTCATTATTTTAAAAGGGCAGCAAACAAGATGGTATACAAGATATCCTCTTGTGCTCATTACCAATTCCTCTTGGCATTTGGATTACTTTGTGGATCCATACAACAGATACCTAAATAACTTGATGAAAACAGACATGACAATTGCATTGTGTTTGGGTGAGGGGTTGTTAACTGATGGAAAAAGTATCAGCTTCTGGGATTTTCCCCTGTTGTGGGTCTCTTTGTGAATGGTATTGAGCACAAGAAGATATCCTGTAAACCATATTGACTTATGTCATGGGTGTTGGCAACATTCAAGCTGCTTTCTGCTATGTAAAGTTTAGCATCTACTGTATTGTATTTTCTGCTGGCAAAGCAGGCACAATATTGTGCAGCAATATTGGGCCATTTACATAAAAAGAGGGGTGTTTTTTGAAGAATTGTATTTTAAAATGGAAGTTTAAGTATACATAAACTACACAAAAATTCCAGCAGAAAGATTCCTCATGTAGAATTACCCGGGCTAGATGATCCTAGAAAATGATCACATACATTTGCTGGGAAAGGGCAGAACAAAGAACAGCTGGGTTATGGCTGTATTGCCTCTGTGCCAAAACATTTTGAAAGGCTGTTTGGGACTTACTAAAATTAAGAAACAAATTGTGTGAAAGTGCAGCACATACAACAGAGAAACATCCACACTCTTTAACCTCTCTGGTAAACTAATGTTATCATGCCCTCTCCAAAGAATGCAGACTAGAAAAGAGTCTTCCAGTTTCCAAACCCTTGCTCTATGATTGTGTTGTCCACAAGCTTTCCAAAAGATGTCTTCTCATCTTTTGAAATAAAAAGAGGGGTGGGAATTAGCAAAGATTGTCAATTGAAATCAAGCTCAAAATTATTCATACTATGTAAAACATGTATAGGGAAGAAAGACCGGTGTGTGTGTGTGTGTCAATAAAGTCATTAGAAATATAGTATTGGAGGTGAGCCTTACAAATACCACAGATGACCAGAAAATCAAATAAGTGGGTTCCCAGGTAAGTCAAATCTAAACACTCACTAGAGCAGAAATGCGTAAATTGAGGCTATCCTACCTGGCACATATATTGAGAACACAGAACATAACAGAAAAGACAATATTACTGGAAAAAGTGGGGGGGGGAGGGGGAAAAGAGGAAGACCTAACATGCTATGGGTGGACTCAATCAAAGAATCCATAGCTGTTAGTTAGCAAGGCCTGAGCAGAATTTAGTGGAAAGGACAATATCGCTGGGAAGGAGACAGTAGGAAGAGAGAACCTCACATGGGATACTGTTGGTTTACAAGCTCTGAGCAGAGTTATTAACAGCAAGACATTCGGGAGGTCATTAACTCATATAGTCACCACATATCAGAACTGACTTGATGGCACATATTTGGAGGCTTTTTAAAATTACCAAGCAATTGTATAGTGACATGATGGGTGGAATGGAGACTACGACAGGATATAGGCACCAAAGCTCCATTAACGTCATATAAGACCATCTCCAGCAACAAAGCAGAAAATAATAGTTTCACAGATTAAGTGAGTGAGCTTCTGAATATTCATTCTATATTCTCTTTTAATATATTATAAATGTATTGTCAATATCTGTATTTTTAAAAATGTTGTGTGTCTATTTTTACAACTAGAGACAGAATTTCTTTGCAACCATGATTCGGATAAGCCTGTTTATCCAGGAAGGCATTAAAAAGTTATCTAAGAGTCAGCTAATTGTGTCTAGAAGTTCAGATTGCTACAGAGGTGGAGCTGATTTCCCCTCTGAAACCTTATGTGAAGAAACTGTTGATCTCATAAATCCTGAGATAATGTTTACTACAGATATATGTCAAAATATTCCCCTTACTCAAGGACTATCACTGCATTACTTTCTTTAAAACAAAGCTGTGTTTTGCTTTACTTTTTAAAGAAAACCTTTCTTTTCTGTCTGTTTCTGTGAGCTTTCTCTCGACAATATCTTCCTCCCCTGCCTATGAATGTATACAATTTAGTGAAACTTCTGCCGACTAGCCTGTACCATGCATACTTAGTTTTATAACAAAGTAGCTGTTTTTCCATTTTGAAAGGTTGTTTTGAGGATTAATATTTCAGCTACAGCTGCCTGGATTAATTTCAAATAAAAAAAGGAGATGGAACCAACCATTCTCTTTCGAGAATGGGCAAAATTGGTCTCTTCAGTTTATATGATCTGTGGCTAGTTGCATCAGCCCCTCTAGCTGAATGGGTCAGGTGAATTTGGTTAGGCTGACCTACTCAGAAGTGATAGTTCCAGGCTACTTTTTTGCAATATGAATTTTCTGCCTGGAACAGGTCCTGGGATGTTGATTTAGTGGATGTTTTGTGGTTGCATCAGTCCCATCTAACTTGATGAGGTGAGTGAATTTGATTAAGCTGGCCTACTCAGAAGTCACCATTCTGAACTATTTTTTGTAATGGTTGTTGTAGTTTTTTTGGGGGGGCTGTTGGGCTGTGTTCTGGAGGGTTTTTTTTCCTAATGTTTCACCAGTCTCTGTGGTGACTGATTATGGTGACTAGCTAACAACACCCATCAATCACAGTGACAGATCATCTCCCCCCTTATCACAACAATACAACCATAACAAAAAAACACCCTGATCACCATAATCACCCAGTCTCCTGAAAAGGACAAAAAGCTGATCCAACATGCTACAAATACTCAACTATCCTACACACTACATTAGAACACAGACAGAATTTTAACTCTTGTCCTCTGAAGATGCCAGCCACAGAGACTGGTGAAACATTTGGAAGAAAAACTGCCAAACAATCTGAAAACCCTAAAACAACCATCAGATCCCAGCTGTGAAAGGCTTCGAGAATATTTTTCATAATATTAATATTGTGCCCAGAATGCTATTAGCAGGGCTTGAAAAATCCATTTGTCCACTCATCTGTGACGAGTGAAAAAATGCTGCTTGACAAGCCACAGCTCCCTCCCTCTCTGCCTCCTTACCCTCTCTCTCTCTTTCTCTCTCTGATCCTGCAATCCTCCCCTCCCCCTTTCCATTGCAAAAGGAAAAACAGCCCTCTTCTCGCGAGAAGAGAGTTTGAGTGGCACATAGATATATAGCTCTGCAGGAGAATGTAGAGTAATCCCATCCTGGAGAATATGGAGATTCCCTGCTCCCAATTTCAACCAAACGACCTAGCTCCTTAAGAGGCCATGAGCTTTTGCTTTCAGTTTTATTTTTGTTGGAGACATTCAAAATAAAGGCATTCAAAATACAAGCTTCATGACCCACAGACACGCAGGTAACAAAGCAGCCCAAGTCTGAGGGTATATTTATTTTGGGTTTGTATGCATTGTTATGTAGAAAGTGGCTAGTTTAAATTTAAATTTAAGTTTAAACATAAATTGCAAGGCTATAGTCTGGTCATTCTGACTGGTGAAATTTTTGACTGACTGGTGAGACATTCTAAAAATGTTCAAGCCCTGGCTATTGGAATGTTGGCCCCGGGGATGTTTTGTGCCTAGTTGCATCAGTACCCTCTAGCTGGATGGGGCAGGTCAATTTGGATGGGCTGTCCTACTGAAATGTTGCCATTCTAGGCTGTATTTCATAATATTAGTTTTATGCTTGGAACAGGTGCTGGAGTGTGTATCCTGGGGGTGATTGTTTTTTTAACTGAATCCATCTCTTCCCTCTAGTTGGATGGTTCTGGTGAATTTGGTTGATCTGTCCTACTTATACATCTCTGTCTAGCCTGTTTTTCACAATAACATTTTTCTGCCAAAAAAAGGGTACTGGAATGTTGTTTCTGCACATTTCTGCATCCATCTCATATACTCACATGTTGTGAATTTGTTTAGGTTATCCTACTTGAAAGTTTTATAACACTGTCAAGGGACCATTTGGAGCAAGGCACAGAATGGAGTACGAGGAGTAGGGACGTGGTGGTGCTGTGGGCTAAACCGCAGAAGCCTGTGCTGCAGGGTCAGAAGACCAAGCAGTTGTAAGATCGAATCCACGCGATGGAGTGAGCTCCTGTCGCTTGTCCCAGCTCCCGCCACCCTAGCAGTTCGAAAGCATGCAAATGCAAGTAGATAAATAGGGACCACCTCGGTGGGAAGGTAACAGCGTTCCGTGTCTAAGTCGCACTGGCCATGTGACCACGGAAGATTGTCTTCGGACAAAACGCTGGCTCTATGGCTTGGAAATGGGGATGAGCACTGCCCCCTAGAGTCGAACATGACTGGACAAAAATTGTCAAGGGGAACCTTTACCTTTACCTTTACTTGAAAGTTTTATAACACTGTCAAGGGGTCAAGAAGAGTCGGACACAACTAAACACTTGAAAGTTGCCATTCCAGACCATTGTGTTCCTTTCTGCCAGGTTTCTGGGTAGTAAAATGTTAATTAAATAGCAATATTAATTGGAATTGAGGTTTAAAATGTTGTTTGGATGTTTATTAAGAAGTCCCCCTTCCATTCCATTCTGCTTATTTCAGTTCTGGCTTTTTCCTAATCCCTGCAAAGATCACTCCCTTTCCAAGGTTAGCACTTGTGGCTTCTTGAGCTTTGGCTCTCTGTGCTTCTTTTTCTTCTCCAAATAGAATTTGAACGGCTTCCCACATGGAGAAAACATGCTTGTCTATCCCCTGGAAAATGCACAAAGATTTCATTTCATTCAAGATGGAGATCTGAGCCACACTTTACTACTATTTGAAATTGGCTTCAATTTATTTATTTTCCCCACCATTGACACTACAGTGTGTAGAACTCATCTGTCTATTTCCTGCTTCCCCATCAGTCCAAAATCAGTGTTGTTCCTGATCACCAATATGAGTGCAGTAGCATAGAGATAATTTCTCATGATCAAGAATGAAGAAGTAAAGTTTGGTATTGCATACTGGATTTCTGTAGTTAAGGGCCAAATTCATTTTTTTTGTCCCAACTAAAATAGACTCACTGAATCAATGTGAACTTGCTATGCCAACACTTAAATAAATGTCATTGATTAGATTTGGCTAGACTAACACCAGATGTAGGTCTGAATCATCAAGTGGATGACATGTTAGCCATTTGCAAGCTATCTCCACATTACCAGAACAATCTGTAAATGAACATGAAGTACAAAGCCAGGAAGTGAAAAATACCCTTACACCCACTTTGTTTTACCTCCTTCTTATTTATACCCACTTCTCAAACTTATTCAGACTTCTCCCATGAGAAGATATTACTTTACCCACGAATGATGTCATTCTATCTTTTGTACTTCTCCCCTACTTTAAGAGATTAAAAACATCCAAAACTTTATATCAGCAGTGGAACAAAATTGTATTTAAAACAGCCTCCTTTATGTGTGCTTAATATCTTGATTCAAAATATATTTTCTCAGAAGACAAATTCTCCTGAAATCAGTAGGACGTATGTCTAAGTGAATGGGATTAGAAATGAGAAATGAACAAGTTAGCCAGTTCAGCAGTGACCCCATTCCCTTAATTTTCAAGGCCAAAACCTGAGACCAAGGAGAAAACACACAGGGTGTGTCATAGAGAGGGTAGGCAAGGGTTCCCTCTCTCAGGTTTAGGTGTGGCGCTGCTGAAGCTTGTGTTATGAGGAGGCTTTTGAGTTGCAATGCTTGTACTCCATTCTGTGCCTTGCTCCAAACGGTACAACAGTTATTTCTTCAAAAGTACAGGAGTGAGAGGAAAAGACTGGAAAAAATGCTTCTGAGAATGTATCCTTTGGCTTCTCAGTGTATTTCTGGAAGAGCATCATGAAAAACCCCTTCAGTCTGAGCCAGTGAGTCCTGGCATCCACTAGGAATGGAATGAAATTAGTGCTTAGTCTCTAAAACTCCCTCACACATAAAAATCAAACTTCTCTCCTAAAATACTGGCCCCTCTGAGATTTGTCTCCCCACTCGGAGAAATAGAAAAGCTTAGCAATTCCTTAAGACTTCAACTGGGGCCCTGAGACTTGGCAACCTAAAGGAAGCTCATTCCCATCCATTATATTATATGGAACCCTCATGTCCACCAATTATGGATAAAGAGTAGACAATATTTGTTTCTAGTTATATTGGAGGACATTCCCTTACACTTTTAATATACAGCACAACAGAAATTTATGAAACTGTGTCGCAGTCTTTGAAGAATGCAAAATAACACTGTCTGGTACATCAAGCTTACAAATAATGGACTAGGTATCTTCAGATTCTAATCGAAGCAGACTGAATATAATTGTTTTTTTCTTTAGAATGCACTTCACTGCTTCTCTGGATACATCATGTCTAAGGGAAGGAACAATGATCTTAACAGAAGGCCCATTAGCAATATTTGTCTTCCACCCCAATCCCGAACAAAACATAAGAGGTATCTTACATCGTTTGTTTTTTGGGATATGGCACACTTATTTACCATATGTATTTCTAGCCTGAGGATAATCTCCATTGATTTCTTAATGGTCCAGACAGGAGACAATGGGGAGAAAATGGAAGTTGCAAGCTCAATTCAAGTGGTATATTATTATTCTGCCATCTGAACTCTTGTGCAGTTCCCACTAATTTCAATGGAACTTACACGAAAGAAGTTCCTGCAGGGTGGCAATGCCCTTTATCTATTTTCATCTTTAATTTAGAGACAAGGAACACTTAACAAAAATTTCTAAGAGACCATCAAGTGGATAATATTCTCTTCTAATTTACGAAGGATGACTGATTACTTTAGGTTGCAATTTCTATCTTTCAGAGCAGGCACTTTATCCTGTTTTCTAAAAGTGCTAGTTTTAAGCTGAAGTGCACTAAAAAAACCTTTAAAATTAACCCATACACCAGGGACAGTCAGTATCACTTGTGAATCTTACACAGAAAACCCAACAAACTTTTAAATGGATCCATTATGCATGCAGAGGCTTGTTAATACATCCATTTAAAAGTTATGACACTAGCATCATGCTTGTTACCTAAATGTAAAAATAATATTTATACTTCAATTATTGTTTGTGTGATTTGGGGATCTATTTTCCAGTGAGAAATGCAAGACAGGGTTGCAACAGAGTAATTCATATGTGTTTACCCATTGTCTCTAGAGGTAGTCTCTCAGCTCTAGTCTGATCAAAACAGTAATTGGAAAACACAAAAATGTATCCATTTTTATTCCTTGCAGTAATGCATCAAAGCATCCTAAGGCATTTTTAGTATCAAAGCTCTTTGTCAGTGGAAACAATTTAATTTACTCACTGATATGTTACAGAGCAAAGTTTTGATGACATCTCAAAGGTCACTTCCATACATAGTCACACTGTCAAACGAAATAAATATGTTTGTACCAGTTGTGGACTTCAACAACATTGATTTTGTTTCATTGATTAGTTTGTTGGCGACTTGTTTGTTTTGTGATTTGACACAGCTTTTTTCCCCTCATGCGAAGTTCAGACTATATAAGGTGTTTACAACATGGTTAGAGACATATACAAAAACGGACTAACAGATGGTCAAGCATCTTGAGCTTGCTGTCTTTAAATCATATAATTGTTTCCACAGGGGGAAAAACGGTCAGATAGACTAGAGTCAAACATTCAGTAAGAAAACTGGGGAATAAATACCTTACAATTCTCAGCTAAGAGTAAGTTATTTATTTACTCCTTCAAGACGAAATACTGCATTGTGGTGGGAAGACAGCAACAACACAATAACTTGTGAGAAAAGGAGGAGTACTGCAAGATGACTCAGGGGAAGTGTGTATGTGTGTGTGTATTCCTTACCATCTGCTGCCTGCTCTTTCTCAGGAGAACTCCTGCTTACAGTATCTGCATCTTGTCATACTATCAAGCCCTTTCTTGTGAGCAGAGCCCCCAAGGGGGGTGGAAGGGCCAAGCCTCTGGTTTGAGTAATGGAGCAGGTACCCATTCAGATGAGGAAGCAGGGCAGGAAAGCCTGCAGTGCTGTTGGTGAGTGATTGATTGCTCGGAGAAGATGGGGGAGGGAAGTGCCCGGCACCTGCAGAACACTTGTGTGAACCACACCAAACTGAGCCGAAGCACTGAAGTCCTTTCCCATCTCTAGTACAAGGCCAGACAAGATCAGTAGCATAAGATGAATTGAAGCCTATGGACTAGCATATCTGCAGTATACTTTTAAAATAAATTTACTCATAGTTACTCAGGACCACTATGAAGCATGGGTATCCACAGGGTTACGTATCCCTTCTACCCATGGAATCCTAAATGTTAATTTGCTCTGCTGCACAATAACATAGAGGCACTCTCATGAAGCTACAATGCCTCATGTCAGTAATGGAATGGATGAGGGCAAACAAGTTTTAACTTAATTCAAAGAAGACAAAGGCACTCCTGGTCACTCAAAAGGGAAATTAGGGAATAGGAATACAACCTGTACTGGATGGGGTAACACTCCCCCTGAAGTTGAAGATTTGTAGTCTGGGAGTAGTCCTGAAATCAGCCCTGAGCCTGGCTTTCTATTGTAGATCTACATGTATTCTTAGAATTAGCTGATCTGCTCATGGTGACACATTTCTTAGTCACACCATATTTGGATTACTGTAATACGCTCTATATGGGTCTCTCCTTGAAGACTGTTCAGAACCTTTAGCTAGTTGAAAAGGCTGCAACCAAACTGCTAACCAGAAGTGGTTACAGGGAACATGTAGCTGCCCTGTTAAAACAGCTTATCTGGTTACCAATCTCATTCTGGGCCCAATACAAAGTAGTGGTTATGACTACATGGCTTGAGCTGAAATTATCTGAAAGAATGTGTTTTCCCTTAAAAACCTGCCCAAGCCCTCACAGGAGAGGACCTTCATTGCAGGAGAGGACCTTCGTTCAGTCCCAAACCAAACCAAAACAAAAAGATTGAAGTAGGTCTTTGGCAACTGATTAATTCTAGGGTCAGGGGCTTTAAAAAGGTGTGCTAATTTTTGGTTGTTGATTATAATTAACCATTTATAATGTTTTAAAACTGCATTATGTTTAAATTCAACTTATTTAATTGTTTTGGAAATTATGGTATTTATTTATTTGTTTGTTTGTTTGTTTGTTTGTTTA